TTTTTTTTTCTTAGCTACAATAACCAAAGAATAATGTAAAATATCCTCTTATCAAAACTCCATGCTTCCTATTAGCACAAAATTCATGTTTTACAGTAAAGTATGCACCTGGTGCATCTACTGGAATCACACTTAAAATGTCAGTTATGTAAAATGTAAAAGGAATAACATGGGAATAATGTATAGGATTTGACAACATCACCATTGTGCAACCCTAAACTTTTTGTAATGTCCCCACAGGATCTGTCTCTTCTTCTGACCAAATAACCCAACACAGTGTTATACTTCCACATTTGTCTTTCTCTATGAGTGGCCTGTTGTGTCTGTCTGATGCCTGTGTGCTCAGATTAAGGAACTGTGGTTGCTCTGTAGTGTAAACGTGTTTAAGTAATGATAGCACTTTATGTTAAAGGTGCAACTCTCCTTTATCCATGCCACTGCCCCTACTACTTGAAGAATGAAGTATTTATGGCCAACAACAAGTGGCAGCCTTGAAAATATACACAGTAATGACATTAATGAACATGTCAGCCAGTAACACAGACCATCAGGTAAGAGAGCCACTGTGACTGAAGAGGATTCCCTAATTGTGATAAAATTAGCCATAATCACATTTTGAGATTGTGATACCGAGGAAAACTGTACGCCTCGTGCAACGAAACTATTGAGTTTTTGGACTTTTAATTTACGAATTTAGCCACCAAAACAGAACCCAAGTTAGCTACAAATGTTAGCATTAGCATGCGAGACAGCCGGCGAGCGTTGACCGTTAAAGTTAGCGTTTACTTGGCAAATAAACGAGAAAATAAAACACACATTACCTATCACTGGACCACAACACAAGTGGCACTTGAGGAGTGGCTCTCCCTGCCGCGAAAAGCGCGACGAAAACCGCAATAAAAGTCGTTAATCGCGACCGACTGGAGGATGTCGAGCCTTCCATTTTTTTCACTCCGTGTATCTTTTCCGCAACGCTCCGATCACGTGACTGCGACCAGCTGACAGTCATGTGCGGATGAAGGACTTCCTGCTTCTTTCATTGAGCTGCCCTGCCCACAGCTGACTTTCACGACAGCCTGCAGCTTTACCCTTTTTTTCTTGTCATGGTGGCATGAAAAAAAACAACTACAAACTACTTCTCCCACCAAACTAATGCCAGAAACTCCTGTACAGCTCTATTGCTAATTTTGCTTTATTACAGGACTTAGCATCGCATTTGATGAAACACAAGGGCTACCATAATACTGCCATGTATAATGTGTGTGATGCATTTTAACTGTGTGCTGTCTTAGTGGCACCTGGCAGCTGTCCAAGGTCCTGGTTCACTGAGTGCATGTTGGCGTTGTACCACTCGTGTCACCATGTCTCATTATCCGGATATGGCACTTTTAAGGGCAATTTTTAAAGAGACACAAACAACAAAAATAATAATAACAGTAATTGTTAACTGTTTCCCTTGCGGAGAGGCCTGCTTGTGCTCAGCCAGTGAAAGCTGCTCCCCATCCACACAGCTGTGGCGGCGGAGGGATACCGCTGCCTGCATCCACGCAACGCAGCGCCTACAACTGGGAAGAGGATAGAAAGGAAAATAGAGAACACACACGCACACTTGGACATAATGTATTTAAAATGAAAAAAAAAAAAATGTTAAACTCCAAGACGAACTCCAAAACTCAGCACGTGCACTCGCTAAAGCCGGCTCAAAGCTCCATGTCTGATTCCACACAGCTTCTCGGTTTGAGTCTATTGTGTGACAACACGGGAAAGAGGAGGATGCGCACTATTTGCCGACGCGCACTCACACGGCTCCAGAGTGCTCCGCGATCAGGGCCATCTTTGGTCGTCCTCGCCGGTGACAGTGTGGACAGTATATTCTATTGGTCATTAATGCCTCATGATTAATAAATAATATTCAACTTTGAAGAAGCCGTTAGAAGCACTTGGCGTGAGAAAAGGGAGCCGTTTCCCCGGTTTGTGGACTTCTTTCCTTCAATACCCTTCATTTCTCAAGGCAAAAAGAGGGCGAGACGGGAGAGGCGGTGATACAACATGGATGAGGAATATGATGTGATCGTTCTGGGCACTGGACTCACAGTGAGTAGTTGAGCCTCGTTCGGTGTTTGCAGAAACGGAGCAGATGGATTGTGTGAACTCCTAAATGATGGTTTTATCCGGAGCGCAGGCCCGTTATCCTCCAGCAGAGCTCAGGAGCTAAAGCCTCCTGCATCCCTGCGCGCTGGTGACATTAGGAAATTGTGAAAAGAGATGCGCGTTAGAAATGAAATTAAAACCGGTCGAGCTGCTTGTGCAATGACACCAAAAAGGCAGACTAAGTGCTCCTCCAGGAGACGTTTATTGTTTTGTTGTTTCGTGTTTTTCTCCCAGCCTCGCAGCCGGCTCAGTGTTGTGTTACACCCAGTAGCATCTTTTAGGCGTAACCCCACAGTGTGTCATGGTCCTCTTTGCATAGACAGGCCTCCATCCTGGGGTTGGCGCAGGCCCGAGCACGGGTTTATTAAACGACTGAGCCTTTCTCTGCTGCTTCTCTCGCCGCAATTACCTTCACTTATCACACCCAATGCGGCAGAAGCAGGTCTGGCACACGTTATGTGGCTCTCATATGGGTTTGGCAAGTAGAAAGGACGACATTTTGGTAGTTTTTATATAAGGTATCATATATCCTTTTGTCAACACACATCCTTAATACTATTCTTTTTTGTTGATGTGAGCAATGAAATCCACTCAGTTCCATAATACCATGACTATTATACCAACTGCTATCATTATTATATTTATTCTGTCATTATTATTATTGTAGTAGTTACAGGGGTGAAACGGTCCAGTCACGCATGCGCACACCATTTCCTCAGCCCCCTGCAGCCTTCTGTCAAACCTCCTAACTCACATTTACGTTCAGTTGTCAGTTTCTGTCCAAAACTAATTACATCAAATGCAACTTGTTTACATGTAATAGCTTAAAAGGGGTGGACAAAATAATAGAAACACCTGTCATTGACTCAAATCAACATGTCTGTGAAACAGTTAGGAAAACTTAAACATCATAGCCTTAATGAAACTTGTTTTTTTGTTTTGTTTTGTTTTGTTTTTTACTACAGGGGCTGCATTTACACAATTGATTTAACTTAATCTAGCATAAAAAGTGGCAACTGAGGGTGTTTCTTCTATTATTAATTAATGTCTACCTTGCTTACCTAATGACAGATATCCTCCCTAAGTCACTTTATTTGATGTACATTCATTATTAATTTGTCATTGATGTTAATTCTGTGCAGGAATGCATTCTGTCCGGGATCATGTCCGTGAATGGGAAAAAGGTCCTGCACATGGACAGGAACCCCTACTATGGTGGGGAGAGCTCTTCCATTACACCCCTGGAGGAGGTAAAGAGCTCCTGGGATCTGTAAAGCCAATCAATATGTTTTTTATGTCCCTCAGTATATCTCATTTTACATCCAGTGCCGCTGGTTCATTCGCTATCTGCCTTTCAGATACTATGAGCCTTGTAGATTTGACGCTAATGTTTCTCTTTCCAGCTTTACAAGCGCTTTACTCTCCCAGATAGCCCACCTGAGTCGATGGGCCGAGGAAGGGACTGGAACGTTGACCTCATCCCCAAGTTTCTCATGGCCAACGGTCAGTATCAGATGACTAATTGATGCCGCAAAACTCTTGTCATATGCCAAGGAGATTTGTCGATAACTAGTACATAAGGTCTGAGGAATAAAGAGTAAACTAAACAGACTACTCAAGTGGCTCAAGCAAAATTATGTAACTTGATACTATTAAGGCTGGATAATCCTTAGAGCTTCATTAAAAAGTGACTGGGCTTTTCTTTTTGGTTCTTGAACACATTTCACCTTCAGTCTTGCACTATTGAACTTTCTCGGATGAGAGGGTAACATATTCAGGAAGCATGAAGAGAAGTCCACTTGCTTTTTAGTGAAACTCTTAGAATTTCCATGACAGGGATAACTGTGAATCCATAAAAATATAAAGGCAGGATTTTTTTTAACTGTTGAAGATTGCTCACAAATAAGACATAGCTTGTGCTTGTCTGTGTGATTGCAGGTCAGCTTGTGAAGATGCTGCTATACACAGAAGTGACACGGTACCTGGACTTTAAAGTAGTGGAGGGAAGCTTCGTCTACAAAGGAGGAAAGATCTACAAGGTGCCGTCAACTGAGACCGAGGCGCTAGCTTCAAGTAAGCACCTGAACGTGTCTCGTCGTGTTTTGTAAGATATTTAGTAGAGATTGGACATTTCAACACAGAAACCTTTTGTTTGAATTTCCAGATCTGATGGGAATGTTTGAGAAGCGAAGGTTTCGGAAGTTTTTAGTCTTTGTGGCCAATTTTGATGAGAATGACCCCAAGACTTTTGAGGGCGTGGACCCCAAGACCACAACAATGAGGGATGTTTACAAGAAGTTTGACCTCGGCCAGGATGTCATTGACTTCACCGGCCACGCCCTGGCCCTCTACAGGACAGATGAGTAAGAGCATAATGTCAAACATCAAATCAAAAGCTTCATTATGTTCAATGTCAATGCTAATTTGAGTGTTTTACATGGACTTTAGAGCTCTTATGAAGATTAAATAAAGCTTTGATGTACTTAGAACCTACGTAATGTTTTTAATTGGCAATTCGGAGAGTTTTTTTCCCCTCAACAAATAGTTATTTAGACTAAGATCAACCTTGTTTCTTCATTGTTTTCTCTTCACTTTTAGCTATCTTGATGTTCCTTGTTTGGAGACGATCAATCGTATCAAACTCTACAGTGAATCGCTGGCACGATATGGGAAGAGTCCCTACCTCTACCCTCTGTACGGTCTGGGAGAACTGCCCCAGGGATTTGCCAGGTATTTTCATCATTTTTCATAATTATAATGGAGCATATATAGCCTTTAATTGTAAATACAGAAATATAAAATGACTCTATGATTTAGCAGATTTTATTCACTTGTCATCTTAGGTTGAGTGCAATCTACGGAGGAACCTACATGCTGAACAAACCAGTGGATGAGATAGTGATGGAAGGCGGAAAGGTGATTGGAGTGAAGTCTGAGGGCGAGGTACGGACAAGTTGATTTATCGTCCAAGATTATGCAGGTTTAAAAATGTCTTGAAACTTTGAAGTGGACACAGTGAGTTCATTCACCCACCTGTCTCACTGCTGCTGCTGCTGCAGGTGGCTCGTTGTAAGCAGCTCATCTGTGACCCCAGCTACATCCCAGATCGTGTCCGCAAGGCGGGTCAGGTGATCCGTGTGATCTGCATCCTCAGCCACCCCATCAAAAATACTAATGACGCCAACTCCTGCCAGATCATCATTCCTCAGAATCAGGTTAACCGCAACTCAGGTGAGTGACACGAGCATTTAAAAAAAATTTTTTTGCTATTATAGCTGCTTAGCTGCTTTGACCTTGGGATGTGTGCAATTAATCGACTAAACCATTGAACGTCGCTATGCTTGCTGCTCAGTGCTAGAAATACCAGTCGGTTTAACTAATTGTTAATATTCTAATGCAGTACAACACTGATTAACTGTTACATTGAAGATTTTATGCAGCCATCTCCCATTGTCCAGTACTGCAGCCCAGGCAGACAAAAACTCTCATCTGCCTGCACTTATACCCGATTGTAATAAACTAGAAGGTGGAACATGGGACAGATAACATCTCATAAATCCAGCGTGACTGGGTGGTACTTTGATCTAGAAAATAAAAATAAGGTTGTATGCAGGTTGTGTCTGAATAAATGGGCAATAACCACTCGCCCGGAGCGGTGCGTAACCACATCCATCTGCATTTAAAATATGATTTGTTTTTTGAAGGATGTGACTGATGGTTTCAAATGGATCCTATATCACGAATTTAACTTACTCAGATAAATTAATATCATAAATAACACTGTAGGGCCTTAAATCTAATAATTTATTTAATATTGCACCGCAGAACGCCAAAGAAGGTGCAGTATTTTCTTCAAGTGGCCATTAAACTGTATAACTCCTTATGTTTCTGTGGAAATGACAGCTGAATCATCGAACACTTGATACTGAACAATATTAATATCATTTGTAATACTGCTTTTTCAATATTACATGACTGCTTCAGTGTCATTGCCAGGATAACTTCTTACTTTTCTCTTTTTGCTTTATTGGGCTTAGTTATTTTTATTCTTTTTTTTGTTTTTTAATGTATCATACTTAAATTTTATTGCTATTCTGTTAGGTACTGCATTTATACTCATGTTATCGTAACTGTTTCTGAGCAATATCCAGCACAAGAATTTCAGCTGAGATTAATAAAGTTCTTATTTTATCTGAAGGTTGTTAGTTAAATTCATAACAGCAATCGTTTTTTTCTACTAGAAAGCACTTTCGCTCAATGGCTGTTGTTTTAAATGTACGATATAAATAACATGACTTGACCCACATAGTATTGTTCTGGACAGTGTTTAGCATTATTGACCAAATTGTGCTTAATTTTGGCTGCTGTTTGGGCATTTCTACCTATTATACTAGTCAGCTAGTTAAAATGTTTGTTTAAGCGACAGGAAAATTAGTGGTTTTGAACATACCTACTATATTCAGTGTGTAAATTAACACTGCATCACTCAACTCTACTGTTCCTCTCAGCTTTAAGCATCTTCGAGCTGATTCTTTCGGATTTGTGGTCAATCATTTGACCGTTATGGTTCTCTCACACTGCTTTCCCAACAACAGGTTGCAGCTGTTTAAACCACAATAGCTCTTAAAACTCTATAAATGCCACCTGCTCAGCAAGAAAAGAAGGAGAGACAAATTCTGTAATTAAATGGTTAATAAAATGGAAAATGTAACAGCTGAAAAGAGTCATGTATTTCCTTCAGGAGTTATGGAGATAAAAACAGAGCCAAAAGACAGTGAATATTGGATGTGCAACAGGTGACCAAGAAACATGACTCCTGACAAATGCTGATATGACTGTTTCTCTTGTGTAAACAGGGAACTGTTTGCTCAACCAAGGGGTATAACATGTCAGTGTTGTGTTTACAGCTTGTTTCTGCTGCCCCCGTGTGGCCAAAAAATCAGTTACCAAAGGTTTAAGTCAACTGATGTAACGTTTCCCTCCTCTTACCCCATTTGTCAATTCTCCAGACATCTACGTGTGCATGATCTCCTATGCTCACAACGTGGCGGCCCAGGGGAAGTACATTGCCATTGTCAGCACCACAGTGGAAACCAGTGAGCCCGAGGCTGAGATCGAGCCAGCTCTGGAGCTGCTGGAGCCCATCGACCAAAAGTCAGTTGAATATTTACTTCTGCTTACTTCTGTGCCGCCATTCAACATTTGCTGTATCTGTACTTTAACAAACTAGTAGGCTATTGAACAAAATGTGGCAAAAATATAAAGTAAGGAAGTTGATTAAGTTGTTTTTTCTTTTAACTTTTGGCAGGTTTGTGGCTATTAGTGACCTGTATGAGCCCACAGATGACGGTACTGACAGCCAGGTAAGACATTTCCAGTAGCATTGCAACACTAAAAATTATGTTTATATGTTCAGTCATGGCCAATATGGCAATGTTGAATGGTTTGTTCCCCACTTTCTATAGATAGAAATATCTGATTACAAACATTCATGGTCCCTTGAGGATGAATCCTAATGGCTTTGGTGAACCCTGCACTTTCCCTCTGGTACCATCATGAGATGTTTTTTTTAATTTTTTTTATTCAGCGTAAAAAAATCTTGACAGTTATTGGGTGAGGTTTTCTAACATTTGCTGCAGATATTCAGGATCAGTAGAGTATAACTCTAATGACTTGGTTGTTCCCCTGACTTTGCCTTTAGTGAAATCGTAACGTTCATGAATAAACCCCTTCATAATAAGAATCATCAACTTGTCAAGAGTGAAGGCAAGATGTTGAACATGGTAAACAGTACTTATCGAATGTCAGCATGTTAAAGAACCGATATTATACTTTTCTCCCTTTAGTGTGTTGTACAGCTGCTTTTTCTGCATATAAAAGGTCTGAAAACTTACAAACCCCCAAATCCACACCAAAGGGCAGTTTTCTCTGCTCCTTACCTGCCTGAAACACTTCATTTGAAGTCAGGGAATTTCTTCTCTTACTTATCTGTATCACCTTGTAACAGATTTGCATAACGCCTGTCTAGTGGCTAGTTTGACCCTTAAAGAAAGAATGAAAAGCTTCATCACAGTCCGCCATCTGCTCGGGCTACGTCTCTCTTCCTATACTCATAAAACTGAGGTTAGAGTACATAACCAATATTGTCCTCTTTTTCGTCGCGCCAGCTGGCCAATCAGAGAGGACTGTGCTTAAGGCAGATTTATGGTTCTGCATTGTTGTCTGTTTTTATAGCTCCCTGCATGAGAGATTATGGGAATTCCACCAATGCAGAGGGTATGGACACATACTTGTGTGCAGTTATCTAACGCGCCTCTGTGATGATGTAATGCACAAGTCGAGTGTTGACTGGTTGAAAGATTGGCTTTAACCAGAAAGGGCATAGGGTCCTTTTGGTATAATGAACAATGTGTGCATTTATAAGCACTTCTTGTGACTACTGATGCAACAGGCCTACCAGTAATGCTCTCAGAATCCATTATTTTTATCACGCCATATCATGTGTGGGGCAAACACCGCACACAAATAAGAGTAGCTCACAATTATCGTTTTTGCATATTTTTGACACTGCCCCCAATTGGCAGCAGCCAGCTACAACAGGTAGACGTTCATCTGCAAAGCTTGCTTTGGCCTTTAAAGGGAGCGAAGCGTTTAATACAGAGTGTGAGAATATGTGCTGTAGCAATGTACAGTAGTAAAAACCGTTGAAGCATGTAATAATGAGCTAAATGATCTTTATGCTAGCTTTTTGCTCAACGCTGCAGCCTCACAGAGCTGCCAGCATCGCTGTAGATTCTTACTCTTGTTCTTTCATCTCTCACAGGTCTTTGCCTCAAGGTCCTACGATGCCACCACCCATTTCGAGACCACTTGCAACGACATCAAGGACATCTACAAACGTATGACCGGGAGCGACTTTGACTTTGAGAACATGAAACGCAAACAGAATGATGTGTTTGGGGAGGATGAGCAGTGAGCGGTAGATGGGGCTTCTGAGAGAGAGCGGGGCCGGAAAAAGGAGGTGGGGCCGAAAAGGGGGCTAAGAGGCGGCAGAGCCAGCGGTGGAGGAACCGGGGATGCCTGAACAGTGCTTTAAAAACAATTGGTGGGAGGGGGGAGAAGTGTGAGTGTGACGGAGAGGGTGTGTGTCCTGGGCTCTGCCTTTCTTCAGCCGCTCGCCTCCTTTTCCTTTTGTCTCTCTCTCTCTCTCTTGACACACATTCAAACACATAAGCGCTCACAAACACACACCATACACGCTTTTCAAATACTCACATTCCCTTTCTCTGTCACTGAAAAGCAGGGTTGATATGGTCTTTCATTCCATTGTAGAATTTACAGTATAATCATGTCTTAACTATTATCATTAGAGGTGAATTTATTACTTGTTGTTGGCGATTTTCGAGGCATCTCATCTCTGTAACATCTTTCTCATATCAGAGGTTGGCTGGGTGGAAGATCGGCACTGAGAGGTGTGAACCGCGAGCTCTGACATGAGAGATCTGTAATGGCTTAGTGTAGAATCCACTGGAAGGGTCACCTCCAGTTGACATGCATGCACCTTTTACACAGTAGTATTGTACATAGACTCAAATGACACTGCGGTATGAAGGCTGGACCATTCCACGCACCACGCCTGTCAACCCTGCTTTCACTTTTCTCTTACTTGGTCTTTTACCTGTGTTACTTCAATAGACGCCGCTCCTTTTGGCAAAATCTGTTGGTCGGGCAAAAAAAATGTGATGACAAGTTACATATAAATGGGCTGTTCTGTCAACATGATAGTGCTCACTTTGCAATGCTGTTGTGTTCCCTTTGCTAGCAGGCAAGCTAACCAGTGGCTATTAACTGTCACCCCAACCCCTTTCCCCTCCTCCACCGCCCCAAGAAAAACAACAGTTCCTTTGTTTATCTCTGTTGTGTGATGTCAGTTTTGAATTTGAATAGTTTACATTCTAACATTTTAAATTATTGAAGAGTTTTATTTCTATATATTTGGTGCACATTTCACTGGCTGAAGTTATGAAGTTTACAGGAGCAGAGGTTGAAACTGTGGTCTTCGAGTTGAACATTTTGAAAAACAAAAAAGGGAACGTTGGGAGTGAAAGAGGCATGGAGAGGATTATAGTGTTTTTAGGTGAGGCTTTCTATGAAGCATTCTGGAAGAAATGTGTGACTAAGAACTTGTTGAGATGCAAGGAAGTGTGCCACGGGGAAAAGAATGTATGCAAGGAATGTTGTGGATTTGACTTTCGGAAAGTTTCACTTTTGAGTGAAGAGAGTGAAGACTGAAATTTCGGCTCATAGTGAAAGCACCAGATCGTGTCTTGGTTGTTTCAACTCTTGTGTTTGTCATTGAGATAAGTCATTACCCTTGAGACTAAATCCTCAGAAAAATTGTAGATGTGAAATAGAAAGAAAAGCTGGATACTCCCATAATTTTAAAAGAGTTTGTAGCAAAAATATGAAGCCACAGTTACAAGTGCCGCCCCATGAGAATGAACCGAAATGCTTTTATTTGGTTGTAGCCTTAATTTGGGGTCTAATTCAAATGTTAAAAATGTTTTATTTTAACTACCAGGTAATGGCAGGTCAGTCTTGTGCCAAAAATGGTGTTTCTGTTATTGGCAAAGCTTGCTGACAACATTAAAGGTTCACTTTGGTAGTGTACGCTGCTCTGCAGAGCTGACTAAATACTAGAGAAGGGATATTGTTTTCTAGCAGATCAGGGGGGTTATTGTATACCTGAGTGGAGATAACCAGCTACAACAGGTAGATGTTCATCTGCAAAGCTTGCTTTGGCCTTTAAAGGAACCAGAGTGTTTCATACAGAGTGTGAGAATATGTGCTGCAGCAATGTCTCTGGAGTGCACACTTACAGCCAGATGGATCTGTGGCTTGGCTTTCTACACATCAAAAACAAACCGACTAGATGCTACGATCATCTCCTTTAAAACCCTGAAGTTGTTCCATTTCACTTTATCTGCCATGACCAATCCCTTAACAACTCTAAACAAAGTTATCACGTGTTTGGGGTATTGACGTGTCTTACCGTTATGCTCTATTTATTTGAAGTTCGCTGACGTATTGTGGAAAGGTTTACGTCAAATGCTGAATATGCTATGCTCTTAGTTTATGTTCTGATGATAAAAAAAAATGGATTTTAAAAGTGATGCACATCGAAATGATTTGTTTTTGTTTGTTATTTGCTGTGTCATGTGTTACGTTTACCTTATTTACTGATCATTCCAGTGTCGCATCATGATTTAATATGATTATTAGCATTCCTAAGAAACAGGTTTTGATAGAAGGAAAACAGCAACAGTGAATTGTAGAGCTGATATCGAAGTCTATACAGCTGTGTTCACAACGGTTTCACACTGTGCATCATTCTACATTGTGTGTGGTCTTCATCCTGGAAACATGTTATCTGAGAAAAACTGGAATACTGTTTACTCCTTGAACATAGGTATATTTGAAGCCCTTTCTCCCTCACCCTTCCTCGGCATCAAATACTATCCTCTCTTTTTTTATTTATTGAAAACAAAAGCCTCATGTGTGGTTGTACTGTTTTAATTTCCATCCAGTATGGCCTTTGGAAACCACTATTGACAATATCCCTTGAAATTGACAAAAGAAATAGTTCAGGCTGAGTAGTAGAAAACTTACTGTCCTTGTTTGATCACTAGTATGTGAACAATGCCTAATGTCTTGTGTAACAAATAAAATGAATTAAACTATGAATGAAATGATAGAAAAATAAAAAGCACATGGCAAACCTGGAAAGACCCTTATTTGGATTTGTGTTTCTGTTTGACGATGCAATCGTGATTTCCCAGGTGAGTAACATTTGTGGGAAGATTATCTATACATACGTACATGAATATTTTATATACACTTGTACTACAAAATACACCTTACAGAATGATACAGTTTTTAATAATTACAAATGATTCTGAAAGAAAAGACTTTGACTAATAATCACTCCATGATGAAATACAAGAAGAATCCGATAAATAACTTGTGAACAGAGTTAGTGTGCAAGACGTTTTGGAGCAAGCGCAAACCCCTGCAGCACAAATGGACATTTTGTAGTTGCTATGCGACCGAAAGAACATTGCGTCTCTGTCATAGATAGACAACACAGAGCTTGAATCCGGTTCAAATTCAGTGATGGAGAAGGCACAGAGGCACCATTCAGTCCTTCACTATATTTGTACAACCACACATCATTATTCCTTCATATCCAGCTTCCTCTCGCACTGCAGTCTCTAATCTGTCACACCCTCCTTTGTAACAACACATGTGTTCCTTACAGAATCTCATTCAGCGATGTGGTGATGTGTCATATTTGCCCGGTCGGGTCCCAGTTTTGGTTCATCCTTTGTCTGATAGCCATGATAACTGCTGTGACCTGAGCTGTGCAGCAGAGGGACAACAAAGTGGAGCTGACTCAGCTAGAGTTACGCATGATTCACCACGTAGCTCTCATATGAATGACCCAGAAGTCTCTGTACCTCTGCCTTGGGCACCACCCAACACTTGCCTAGGTGGCGTTTTCGCACAGAGTCCTTCAGTGTCTTGTCATGCAAGGTGACCGGCATGTGCTCTGATCCCAACCTCAGAAGCCCCCTGGCCAAAATTTCTTCGTTTGCTCGGTAAACTCCTCCATCCAGATGGTCCTTGACCAGCGTTACACTCATGTCCACATGCTGAAACTGGCCTGTAGACACATAAAGAGCAGCACTCAGAAAAGAACCTACTTCATTTTCTCAAGTACTGCACTTATAACTTTGAGGTGTACTTTCAGGGAAAGAAGCTATAGTTGTTAGTTGCTTTCCAGGTTATTCTATTTTGCAAAAAAACATTTGAAGTGAATAAAATAAACTGCACTGTTGAATGTTAACCCAGTGGTGCTAACGTGCTGAGCTTGCAGTGGTGGAAGAGGTAGTCAGATAATTAAATGATGTGAAATACCAGAATGTGAAATAACTCCATTACAAATTAAAGTCCTGCATTTAAAATGGTACACAAGTATGAAAATACATATGTGAAAGGTGGTTGAGGAGTAGCAAGTTTTAATAACTTTCTAAACTGTTTCAGTTCATGACATGACTAAAGCATTACACAAGAAAAAACAAACAAATTACGTATTCCATCCATCCATCCATTATCTATACACCGCTTATGAAATATAGGATCCATTTACTTCAATTCTTTCAAGGTATGGAACCACTGGACTTAAGAGGCCAATATGCAGCACTTGAGGCATAAATATAACAGCAAACAACCGCTTGCTATGTAAAACTATAACCTAAGTTGATTAATGGCTTGCTGGAGTCCCACACCCTCTGTGCATTTTATTGTCTAAGATTCTTTGTGTTATGTTTTAGAAGTCAGTCTGGCTGCACATTTGTGATAGTGGAAGTTAGTGCATGTGAATCCCTCCCATTGAAACTTTTGGCCCTCCCTGTGCTCAGTGACCTCCCACATTTCACTGGATAAGTCAAAGTGCAGTCCAGCCTTAAGCCAGTGCCCCAAAAGCAAAGGAATTTAAAAAGCAATTTATTTGTGTTATTTGCTTATTTTATGTGCACTCATCGAACTGTTTTAATCTGATTCTCCTTCTCTGCTTTTGCCTGTTTAGCTTCAGTCTTTGTGCGTCTGTTTCCACTCATGAGTCTGCTTCAATCCGATGGCCAGCAGAAACAGACACACACAGAGTGGAGCAGATATGACTGCAGAGAAGGAGAGACAGTTAAAGTGAAGATAACCTTATGTGAGTTGACTGCAACATTGTATTTTACAATGCTGGCGTTGGCTAATGGCTTTGACTGTATTGTTTTTGTCTACTTTACTCTCATGTACACTGTCTTTCTGGTTGTAAATGAAAGTGAATGGTAGAGGAGAGGTGTGGTTGACGTGACTATTTGTTTTGGTCTGAGATGCTGATGTTCTACTGACATCCAGTGTTTCTGAATGTTGCACCCAAAACCTTTAACTACCTATACAGTCGTAGAAGTAAAAAATATCCTGAAAAACCTTTCAGGTTTCCTTCCCTACAGCAGAGGTTACTCAGGTCACCCTGCAGAAAGGTTCAAGTGTCAATTAGGCCTACACATTGCTAAAAAAGTCCTGCAGGAATGAAACAAGTAAGGTTCTCTGAATATCCTCAGAGTTCATTAAGGCTCTCCTAATTCTAAAAGAGTATGAGCAGTAGTGAAAATTATTTCACTTGAGTAAGATTTTGAAAGCATGGCTTTTATCTGCAATTAAGTATTTTATATTGTTATACTGGACATTTTACCAAAAATAAAAACTCTGTATACATCTTTCTTTATAAATCTACAAATGTGGAGGCTGACAGTGGAAAGCTGATGTGTACGTACCCAATAGGCCTTGGGTTGCTTCAGAAAGCCCCCGTCCATCTGTGATGTAAAACCCCAGGTGAGCCATCTGCAGATAGCTGGGGTGTTTATAGTGGTGAAACAGGACCAGGAACCGCACGCCTTTGGCCAGCTCGATCCAGCAGCTCCGATGGTTGTCTACAGTAACCATCACACCCTGCCTTGTCACCGACCCCTGCTGATTGATGGGAAGGATATCCCGTCCTTCACCTTCCACCACTACTGTGTCCAGTGACAGTGTGATCATGATGTCACCAGAGATGCCTGTGGCTGAGGAGACGGTGAGCTGGTCAAAGTAGGTTCGGGAGCGGTCTTCAACACCGTGCTTGGAGGGAGCCCCAGTTAGGTGGCCATCAACGATGATCCCTTGAAGAAGACAGGAAAAAGTAGATATTTGGTAACACATCTGAAAAGTCCTGCAAACACCCAGAAGACATGCAATGTTAAAAGTCTCTGCATACCTCTCTCTGGGTCTTCCAACAGTCTGAGAACATCATTAGCCCTGCCGTCTACTGTGAAACACAGGTTCTGATGCAGCTTTGGTAGCTGAACCACAAAATGAGGATCTCCATCAACTGCAATAGACAATAGTGAGGTGAAACATGACCTGAATACATAAATTACTCAAATAATTCTTAGGGTGTAATTACAAGCAAATAAATGAAATATAGATTTTTGACCTGAGGAGGAGAAGACCCGGACGGTGCTCAGTCTGGATGGAGGTTCTAAAAGCACAAGACATTCAACTAAAGGACAGTCCTCCTCACTCCCAAGCACTGAAACCAATAACAGGACTAAACATATATTGCAAGCAGCATCCCTGCAATGAATGCCATAATATCTAAGACATGCACCTTCCAAATACTCACCACTAAATGTCTCAGTGTCTGCAGTATCATCCCCTGAAAACAAGAGTATTTGTATATAAACTTTACTGGTCTAAAAAGTAGCTAAAGTGCAGATCTGCTTCTGATATACACTGAAAACTTACAGGCATCGTAGCTGAGATCGTAGTCATAGTCATAGGTTGCGTCGTAGTCTGGGAAACGTAAGCAAATTATGCAAAAATGAGTTCAGTGCATGTGCTGCTGTTCACTGAAGTATGTTGGTTTTTGTGGGAATTAACATTGATACTCACCTTTCACAAGGTCAATATCTAAAAGAAAAGAAACACATAAGATTACTATATATGACAGTAGGTCATAAATAAACAGACTTTTACTTACAAGCGATGTTTGAATCCTGGGTCTAAGCACAAGCGAATACTAACTTTTAACATGACTATTTATGTGCATTTGAAGCCTGCGCATAGGCCCATGCTCATCTGGTGGGGCTTGCGTTTTTTTTTTTTGTTTGCTTGTTTGTTTGTTTTTTGCCATTTACAGATTTCTGCTTTTTGCCACTTTAAAAACCTACTGGACAAACAGAAAATTGTTAAATATTTCATTTAGAAAAGCAAAGATTAAGAAATGTAGAGAATATTAAATACAATTTCTTCTTTCATACTTTATTAATCACATCATGATCAGTGTTGGGGTTACTGCATTAAAATAAGTACATATTCAGCACTGCTTCTTCCTTTTTTAAAAATAATGAACTGCTTTACCTATTTATTCCCTGAACAAAGTAATTATTCACATGACTTATTACTCTTGCATTACCTTATAGCATCCCATGAGATGCATTGTCATGTAAATTGCAAGTGGACCTGAGGTTGGTAACCACTGACTTTCATTTAGTTGTTTAATACTTTAAACTAGGAAATGATTGTGATTATTTGTTCCATTGCTGCATTTAAATACATGTATACCAGATAAAACATTTAAAAGCTGAGAAGAAAGTGATTTATTGGTATAGAGGGGAAGTTCAGTCTTACCTTTTCTCTGAATCTGAATGGAAGTAGAGACATCTAGTGGACAGACAAGGAAAATTCAATTATGGATAAATATACAAAGTCGGCACAAAAAGGCTTTGATTGTAAATTAGACAGACGAGGGAGTGTTTAACCTACCCAGAAGTCCCGCTGCCTCCCACAGTCGTGGCCCATTTGTTACTCCAGGCATAGGAGCAAAGGTAGCAGACACCAGGGTGGCGATTCGCTGGTCTGTTTCAGCATCTGAGTTTGTGTTGTTGCCCTCGACAGCTGGAGCTGGGGCTGGGGTGGGAGAGGTGAGCGCAGACAGCATCTCAGGTGGGACGGTGGTGATTTCAGGCTGATGAACATGTGGAGCAGATGTGGTTTTGTTGTCTGCCTCTGTGTACAAATCAGTCACCTTGACAGGAGGGAGAGCTGTCCTCACTGTACTGGGCTGTTGGGTAAAAGGTGCAGGCTCAGTTCTGACTGACCCAAGTGGTGTTGAGGTACTGGTGGTAAATGTTGGCATTGCGGTGGTTGTTGTTTTCATTGCGTTGGCTATTGGTGTCGAGACTTTTCCTGGTGCAGGGGGTGGCGCTGTTTTTAAAGCATTAAGCAGAGAAGTGGATATCCTTCCAGCTGGAGGAGGAGAGGCAGTTTTGGAATCATTTTGGGAAGGAGTGGGCTTTCGACCAGAGATTGGTGCTGGGCCAGTTTTGGTGGAGTTTGGACTGGAGGTTGTAGCTGATTTTTTGGATGGTGAAACCACAGTTTTTGCTGTGGTAGTTGGAGATGAGTTCTTTTTAGGTTGGAGGGTATTTGGAGGTGGCTGAGGCCGGTCTGGTTTTGCTTTGTTAGGCCTGGGGCTAGATGGTGAGCTTGGCTTCTTCACAGCACCTGCAGCTGATACTTTGTTGGTAGTGGTAGCTGTAGTTGTTGCTGTTGTGGTTATTGTGGCAGCAGAGGTGGGTTTTGCAGTGGTTGGACTTTGAGATGCTTCATCTGCATCTGGCTTAACTACGACTAAAGAAGTGACTGGTGTCACAAAATTATATTTGAGTGAGAGGTTTGTGGCTTTGTCTGCCAGTAGCCTTTGAGTTGCAGGGTCAGTGGCATTCAGTTTGGCCAGCAGCAGCTCTTTGATGGTGAAATATGCCCAGAGACGATGCACAAAGCTGGAGATCCCTTCTAAACCTCCTGAACAGTCCAGCGAATCGGTACTCCCGTTACGCTTTGCATGGGAAATAAGCACATCATTTTCCACTTTCATACGCTGCTTTGAATCAGTAGCTGAAACTGACACCTTTAAATCTTTGACCCCTGCTTTAACCCTCCCAGCCACAACCAACTCAGAGCCTTGAAAATAATTTGGGAAAAGGGAGCGAGTGATGTCAAATGCCTGATCATCCAAATAAGACAGCTGGATGTCGGATAGCAATGGGCTGGCTACTTCATCATAGAAGCCCTTCAGCTGCAAGGCTGCATCTGCATCCTCGTACACCATCCTGGCTACACCCCGGTTATCCAGTGCCAGGCGTTTGAGAAGAAGGAAGTCTGCATCATCTCCAAAGGCGAGGCCAAACAGAGAGGCCAAGCCCAAAGCCTTCTTGGCGTTGCTTAGGATGGTGTCACCAGACGTTACTCCAATAGTCGCTTCCCCATCAGTAAGGAAAATTACCAGAGGGACACGATGGGATGAGAGGCGGCTGGAAGATCCAGAGGAAGGAGGGTTGACAAGCTGAGCAGCTGAAAGCAGAGCTGCATTGATATTGGTCCCTAACGCAAAAGAATGAAACAAAAGAGATAATCCGTCTTAAAGGTACAAAGCAAACAAAGATTAGGAAGATAGAAAAAGGATCCAAAGGCCAGATTTGAATACAATGTTACAGCTCAGACAATATCGGATTTCAACTCACATCCTTCTGCGATAATCCTCTTCACAAACTCTCTGGCGTCTCGTACATTCTGCCGAGTTGCTCGCACTGTTCGACCTTTCTTCCAAGTGTGAACCTTGTCTGAGAAGGTGATGATGTTGAAGTGGTCTCCTTCTCTAAGGTCCCCAAGGATGGTGCTCATGGCCTGTTTGGTCTACTGACAGAAACTCTGAGAATTAATAATCTATCTTTAGCAACCTTCTTCATCTTTAAGATCCTGGTGTAGTTGTAGTCATTGAAGCGATTTGTCCACTTTACCTGCTTTATCTTGGTGCCTATCATTGAGCCACTCACATCAATGACAAATATAACATCCTTAGGGACCACAGGAAGGCCTCTAGGTGCAAAGTAATGCACAAAGTAGCCATCATACACCTGATAGAGGTCAAGAAAAGAGACAAATGAAGGAGGCCACCAAAAATCATAGCATGTGCATGACGAACCAGAAGTGAGAAGATGCTGCCGACCTGGACATCACCCATGAGGTCTCGGAGATTCACATCATACTGAATAATGAAGTCTGCATTAAGACCCTTGGAAGAAATACTGTTCTGCTGCTGTGGAGTCGGACTATAGTGAACTCGAGCACAGCCAGCACTCCTCTCAACACGAGTGGAGGAAGGGGCCTCTGTTTCTCCTGTAGAAAAGAAGTACACGATTAAATCCATGTAGTGATAAATAAAACAGCTAGAGTCCCTTTGCAGCCTATTAAACACCTAAAAACTCATCACTGTGTATCACAGTTACATATTTAGCAGTTTTTTCTCCATTAAATTAATCCCCACATGCCTTAAAATGCTGAGATGCAACTCTACACAGTAACCTCAACGGTCGCTGCAACTCGGGCACACCAGCTCACATAAATGTCCGCTAAAACACTGTCAAACTGCTCCACACTGCATAATATCAGCTTATGGTAACAGAGAAAGTGATTCTGAAGAAGAACACTGATACAGAAAGTCCCACTCTGCAAATTGACAGGATTGGTTGCTTAAGTTTGGTACATATGAAATCTGGAAGTCTGAATCTTTGTCAGACTGTCATCAATACACTGAAGTTTGAAAGTTGAAAGAGGTGGAAATACTTGGCATTGCCTGCTTTTGTTGATCATCATATGTCTTCTCGCATCTAAAAAATACCATGTGGGTGCTTTTAGAAGGGTTAAAAAAAACAACTTGATTTTCACCAGAGGGGGATCTGTAATATTTATAATGCAGAGTACATTTTTTAAAACATAATGAAATCCACAAATCTTGATAATATGATGGGTTTTTTCATGTTTTATGCCTGTTTTTTGACTGGAGAGTGTGACTTAAAGGAGTTTTCACACTGTGATGACAGACTTTTGTTATCCTGTTTCCAGTTGTGCTAAGCTAAGCTAACTGGTACATAGCATACATTAGCTAAGCTAACTGGTACACACGAATGGTACTGACCTTCTCATTTAAAACTCACAAAGAAATAAATCAGAGTTCCTCAATCTATTTTTTTCTAAACACTATTGCTAATATGAGCAGTTGTGATTCATCTCAAGAGTCCAGAGTCTTCCTAAAAACCTTCCTCTTTCATACATTCATTGAAGGGTACCGGTTACATAGTGTTTTTTCTGATAGTGTGAGAGTATGAAAGGGTGATTTTTCACTTTAAAAGTTGTACAAATCATGTATTTACTATATCCTGTTTCAGATTGTACCTTGAGCGGTGTTGGAAAGCAGTCGGCTTGTCTTGAGAGGAAGTACTTTAATAAAACTAATGCCTGTCCTCTCCGTTACATCGATGTCTAAGGTGAGGTTCTGCACAAGCTGTCCAGGCCTCAAACCCAAACTGAGCTCGTAGCGGCCAAGTCGACGGGGTAGCAGCTCCTCATAGGAGAGGAAGAAGGACATCCGAGCTCCTGACGGCACACTCACCGCCACTCGAAACTTCTCAATTTCCCGCTCTCTGCAACACCGCAAAGCAAAGGGGGAAGAATGTAGTGGATGTCAGTTAAAACCATCAGCATTAGTGTTGGAAAACAGAGAGAATGACAGTGGAAATTTAACATGTGGTCACTAAAGGTAACACAAAAAAGTTTTCCAAGGACTGACTTTGTAGCGACAAGTCCGGCTGTTTTTCCTTGCTTCTTAGCAGCGTCGTAAATTTTCCTGGCAGCAGCTCTTTCCTTCACCTGGGCTACATACACCTTGCCATTGGAGGTGCTGATGGGAAAGAGGAAAGAGGAAGAAGAAACAGCTCTCTGTGTGACTCACAGTAGCCAGATTATGTTACAGTCAGAAACACGCCTGGGCTGCATTGAGCTGTTGACCTTGATTTACTTTATGATTTACTTTATTTTTCTCCTTGTATTTCCAGGGCGATCACAAAGCTGCTTCACAAACAGCCGTAGTGCTTGTTTACACACCGGGTTCATACCATGTGGAGGGGGAGGCGGGGGTCACAAACAGGGTAAGTGGAAAACAGTAATTTCCCTTGAAAAACAGCATTAATGAAGAGAGATCTCCGATGACGCTCCAGGGGAGTGCCGCCGTGTTGCAAAAATACCAACTAAAAACCGCTGCTCAAAACGCCATCCAGTCCACATGCGGCGTACTTCCTAGACTCTGGTGACCGCCGCTGTCACGTGACGAGGTGCTAAATTAAGGTCAAGTCCTTTGAACAAATATATCCAAAGAGAAAAAACATCAAGACCTAACTAAAATAAACCCACAGGTTTGAAGCGGGTCTTGTTTAAGACACAGAGCAGAATGGCATGAGAGAGCCGAGTGGAAAATGAAGGTGCTTGTATTTATGTGTGTGTGTGTGTGTGTGGGTGTGTGTGTGTGTAGGGGGGGTGAAGGGATGGCTGTGCATCAGCGACCTATACACACAGAACACACAGTGCTTAGTTTCAGATGCAGAAATGCCAAAGAACTAACGCAATGCCACAACTTTTTTCCTCTGGGTATTGGGCGATATGCAGATGGTTGTGTAGGTGCTGAGTGTGTGTGAGAATACGTGCGACATGTGTATGAAGGAAAAAGGGTGAGAGAGAAAGAAGAAATGTGAAGGATCATGGTTGTTAAAAGCCGCATGCAGGACACACGCACATACAGTAGATGTAGACGTGTGTCTGTAGCGTATCTCAACTGGCAGGCTGCCTTAGTAAACTGTGTGGGGGAGAAAAGGGGGACTGGGCAAACTCCTGTCATTTTCTCTATTAACTTTCTGACTTCCATTTACAAAGCCTGGTATTCATCTTCCCTCTGGTTCCCCCTCCTCCTGACCTGCTTCCGCTCCCAAACCCAGCTCCGGGCTCGCTGTTTGGCCTGCAGTGTTGACTTATTTGTTTTGTTTATATTTAGTATTTTTAAAGGAGGGTGGTTTTCAGCCCTCTTACTAATCAAATTATGCATCTCCTCTGCACCAGAATTCTCCTTACATAACTTCTCTTAAGTTTTATTTCTGGATTCTTTCCATCAGCGAAAACATTACTTTTACTTATTTCAATTTCTTACCATATGGCAGGGAAATATTATTTCTACAGGCAAAAAATAATATTTCTCTGCCAAATTCAATACTTTCAACCTAGAAGGTGTGGATTTTTTAAGGTTAGTTTTAAAGGTCCACTGTGTAGGATTTAGTGATATATAAACAAAAATATAATATTCTGATGTTTTTATGAGCATAGAATCACCTGACAATAAGAATAATTATGTTTTCATTACTGCCAGAGGTTTCCACAGTAACCCAGAGCAGACAAACTAGTAACTAGCCATGTTTCCATGTAAGTAGCTGGTAAATGTGAAGCAGACTTTTAAAATGCTAAAAAGCCTATTTCTATTAACTGTTTAGAGCAATTAGCCTAGGCTAAGTGGTGTCTTCAGAAGGTGGCGCTATAGGCTACATGAATGCAATAAACAGCGTAGAAGAAACTGGAAATGAAACCTGTTATACTCTAGCTGCCAAAAAATCTTGAAGATGAAAAGAACAAGCAAAGTCTTCATCTACTAGAAAAAATGGAGCGAAGTCTTCAGAAATTCCTCATTTTCAGTTGTTAAAGTTGTAATTGTTCTTTCATGTCTGCTGGTATTAGTCATGTTTCATGCTGAACAGAGACGAAGACAACGAGAGAAGTGAAAAGATGATCAGTCGCATAAGTTAAATGTTCACTATGGTCAAAATGGCGCTACATTGTCCTTTACGTCAGAACTTATTCATAAAATATGTTTTCAACCCCCATCATGCATGATAAGTCTTTTTTTTTTTTTTTTTTTTAACTCCAAACACACTTTGTGTAAAAATTAAATTGTTTTTGCAAAACTGGGGAAGGTTTTTCAAAATTTTTCTCTATTAACTTTTTCTTTTGTGATACTTCAAACTGTGAATCAAAACATTATGGAAAAACAACTACCAGCTCTAGAAAGACTTTTTACTGGTTTTCTTGTTTTTAAAGGCCACAATAAGTTCTCCAACATGCCTGAGACATAAGAAGGTTGTTGTTATTCAGCTTGCAATCTGCATTTCCAACACTAGAGGCCACTAAAGCTCACACACTGCACTTTAATAGAGTCCACATTACAGTCAGTGACACAAGGAGTGGTTCCGTTTCATGATATTCACAGTGATGCAAATCAAAGATTGGCACTCTACCAGACAAATGTCACTGTGGGTAACAGACGGACACAGCAGGAGACTTGATGATCATGGACTGACTTACATGGTGAAGTTAGAGATGAAAGCGGAGGAGGGAAGGTCCACCTCAAATGCAGCCTCCTTAATGATGGGGAGCTGGTTCCACACTGAGCTCTGGACTGTAGTAACAGCATAGCGGGACACCACTGAACACTTCACATGGTAGTCTGTCACCTTCAGCTGATGACACAACAAATACATGTATCGCTTTAAAGGTTGGAGGAGAAAGCATGAAAGTTGAGGAGTCATGGGAGACGTTGTTCTGGTCCACTGAATGCAGAAAAGGCCGGCTTGTTGAGATGACAGAGCAGATTTGCCACCTGAATGAAACTTATTTAGATCCAAATTCCAAATTTATAATGATGTGTCACCACCAGTCACGTCTAGCTATAGCAACCATGGATGTCAGGTTAAACTCAATGTACTACCCTGAGAATTGGCGGAAAAAAAGAAAACAAAAAAAAACTGTTAAGCTTCACACATGAATCTTATTTTTGTCTCATATCACAGTTTGCACTGCATGGCTCTGATGAGTTAATGAAACAACACAAAGCAGTTCCCTGCATGGTGTCTCTGCCCTCCTCTTGTTTACTTGGGGAATGCTGGTGCCTGCTGAGACCAATCTGGTCAGTGCCGGCCACATTACTGCAGGACGAGGCGACAGGCGGGGCAGGAGAGCCACATCAGGCCTCCGGCTTGCTGGTATTTAGGAACGCTGTGGTTTGTGCAGCACAGACAGAATTACTGTAAGTTCGCAGGGAATTGCTTCACAGTTAGCATTGAAGCAAAGTGAGGAGCAAACCACAGTGGAGCCACTGAGATGTTTGTTTCCTTGTTGGTAAAACTTTTTCTCCAGTTTACTTTCTATGACCACCAGAGCCCAGCTGTTAATTTTTTAAAAATGCTAATTCTGTGTAATGTGCAAATGTATCCACAGGTATGTTAAAAATTCTACAACAGGATGTTTTCGAGGAAAAATCAGATTAATATTTGACATTTCATGCACAATACAGATACACAAACTTACCACTGGCTTTGCTGGTTTGCTTTGACGTTTTATTCTCTGGAAAAGAAACAAGGCAGCAAGTGAAGAAAAGCTCATTCTTTTTCTTTTTCTTTTTTTTTTTTTTTAAAGAGAGTGATACTTGTTTTAAAAAAAACGGCACATAGCAGCGGTTCTGCTGTATAACAAAATTTCCAAGTACCACAGTGTGTTCAAAATGACCTCTTTTTGGAGTAATCTCGACAATCTGCGTATGTGAGGGCTGGGTCAAGATTTTGTGTCAAAATAGTCTGAATCAAAGCCATTCACGAATGGAGGGGAAGTGCAACTGGAAATAAATGCTTTCACTGTACACAGGGCCTGCGAGGGCTGCGTGGTTTGGTCTCAAATGTTAATTCTGCACACAAGTCATTGCTGTGTCAATACATTACCAAACATCCTGTGCATTGGTGGGAATTCAGCATAAACACGTAGCTTTAGGAGTGGAAACTCCTTGAGGGAAATGGAAAAGTGCATCATTTCATAAAACACAGGATTATATGATAAGGTTTGCCTGTGGGAAAAGCTGCCTTTGTTTTATTCAGCTGCAAGCCATCACTGTAAGAACATGTCTGTGCTCACTAGTAACATTTTGCAGAGAAATATCTCTAAAAGTGTTTGTGAGGTAGAACTATACTGATCATTGGAGTTGTGTGTTTCAGAAATAAACTGAGCATTTAAAAAAATAAAATAAAATTCTCACCTGTAAATGAATATTTGTGCCAAGGTGTGCTTCATAGTCCCTTGATAATCCCTCTTGCATGTGCAAAGTGAGGAAAACTAGAACACACTGGACTTTTAAAAACATCATGTCCGTGTTCATTTTTGTCAGCAAAGTGAAGAAAAGTTGTCCAGTGGTCTCACGTTGACTGAAGCAAGCAGCGCACACACCTCACATTTTACACAAGTTATTTTTTGCATGGGGCAGTCTCTCCCCTCCCTCACCTCAGACCACTTTAATCGCTCGGCTGCTGTGACAGTGACATCAAACTATGTTCAGATAAGCGTTGAACACCTTCCCAGTGTTTACAGGAACAAAGACAGAGTGCAGCTCAGTCAGAAAGTTGCGTGAGTCCAGCTGGTGTAAAGAGATCAGCTCCCAGCTTGTGAACATGCATACTGGAAACTTCGCGCACTGCTGCCACTGAGCTCCAGGAGAAATGAGGGATTTTTAACCCCTGCTCGACTATTTGGGGAAAATACCCCGCAACCAGAACACCTCCTCCTCTTCCTCCTCCTCCTCCTCCACTGCTCCTAAAACCTTTTTTTCCCCCTAAATTACTCCCAAATGAGAGTTTCCCTTGAGTGCTCTTTCACAAAGACCCATTATTGGCCCAAAATAAAACAGTACTTTGGTCTGCTGTGAAATTATTTTGCTAAATTAGACTTAAGTTGTCATGTGGGAGCATCAGCAACTTAATAAAGTAATGTCTCTGACCTGAGTCCAAACATTATGTCTTAGAGTGCACAACAGCAAAAAAAGTAAACTACAGGCAACAGTTTGTTTCCATAATAACTTCTGGTGAAATTATGTTTCACTAACAAATCACATTCAGTTAGGGGGGTTAGGTTTTGATAACTACCCCTTTCCTAATCCATTAGTTGCATAAAAACAAGTCTTTAAGCTAATTATTCATAACGAATTCCAAAACTTGCTCCGGTGTTACTTAGGTAGAGGAGGGGATGTAAAATAATGTCCTCAAGATGAAAAATGCATTTATCAAGCCAGTTTCATCAAGTTACCTCAACTTGAATTTGCTTTTAATCCAAGTAATGCAGAAATTTGAGTTGAAAATACACACAATATTAAGTTGGTGCAATTACTAACATTATTACGTCAACCTAACCCACCATAACAATATTAAACAGGGATACAGTCAGTTTACATTTCAGCTCTTTTCTTGGATGATAGTGACCTTGTAAATCTTTAAATACCATTTAAATAGTTTTCACAGTCAGAGAAGTGTTTTAAGGCATGTTGTAACGATGTGACAGAACAAAATTAGCTTCTACCTTTATTTTGTTTTTACATAAATATACATTTACAAACATTTTTACTGTTTACATGAGAGTCACATAGAGGGTTATCCATTAGTTTGAAAATATCTTCACTACTTCCATTTGTTCTAATATGGTCAAGTGTCAGAGTAGGACTTTTGAGGGAAGACGCCCTCATAGACATGAATGAATTTTAGTACTCCTTGCTAATGCTGAACTTGTGATCAATTATGTACACTACCATCTAATACAAGAACATAAAAATGGTCATTGTCTGTCTAAAAATCTACCAAGCTGACTTTATGTTAAATTAATAATCTAGTGCTTTTTGTGCATAAGCTTGCTGGCTCGAATTCTTAGTAGGCTGAGCCTTTTTAAAAAATAATAAAGAAAGAAAGAAAATGGACATTTTTCTTATTCTAGATTCAGCCAGGGACAAATTAAGGGAAGACACTACAGGCAAAAATAGGCTAGTGGTAAGAAAACATCCAAAATACACATTTAGGTTTTACGTGTTTATTTTAGTATTTCATTCCACTCCATCTGTTTGGGTCTGCAGAATTTAATTACCACACAGTTCTGTGCAATATCCATATTTTCTACAAATGGAAGAATCTGTGCAACATCAAAATTTTTTCTACATATAGAAGACATCTGTGCATTATCAATATTTCCTGTATGCTATATGTGCAACCACTGCCTGTTTCACTTATTGTTATTGTTATATAGTGCATTGTAACTTATCTATAGTTCTTATTCATCTTTATTTCTTACTGACACCCTTACAGTTTTGCACTATCCTCTGTGCTGCCGTAACACTGCAAGTTGCCTTACTGTGGGTTTGATAAAGGATTATCTTATCTTAAAAGGTTTTTTCTCAAAATGAGTTTTTCCTCCTACTCTGACCCAGAAATCTCCACTTTGGCAGCACTTACATACAACAGACTTTTATTCCTGTCTATGTACTGAAGGTTTTTACAAAGAAGGTTGTTCATATGTCAGTCACAGCCTGGTTTGTAGAACACTTCATTCTGAAAAACGTCTCAAAAATTTATGGAATGGAGATGGCCAAAATCCTGTGCAAAGACATTTCTATCGTGATGGGAGAGGTTTATTTCAAGGGTGAATGACCCACACAAGTATAAAAATAATATGGATCTGTGTTGAAAGTCAACAAACCTAAGCACAACTGAACACCAGTGGAGGATTCTGGACTATTGTATTAGTCAGGGTTCTGCACCACCATCATCGGAACACCAAATGATGGTGTTCATCCCTTCAGCAGAGTCCAGACAGTTAGAGAATAAATGCCAAGTTAAGTGTTAAGTGTCCAAATTTGCAGCATGCTTTGTTTGTTTGGGTGCTGTCCTTGGTGCTGATTCCTAATAACTCGATCATCAACAATACATTTTGTTATCCATACGACACTTACATAGACATGAAATCCTCTGATATAACGGAAACCTCTCTATGTGTTTCTTTCTGCTTCAAGACACAGGGCTTTTTCTCTCCCTGTAAATTATTTGTAAACAATTCAAAAAAAGCAAACCACATAGTGTCAGAAAAAGACAAAGGAACATTTCACAGACATCTTAAAAACAGACGCAGCTAAAGGTTAGACGCTTTTCAGTCACTACCATCTTATCTTCTTCTGCTTTAAAGTCTCTCCACAATCAGCATTTCACTGGAGTCATTTCTAATATTCAGTGAAGCTTACTAGTGGCAGCGTATCCAGTTTCACATGACTGAAGTTCATTTCCCCCTAAGCCACTATTTAGATGTGGTCAGGAACAGTCTGCAGAGCTTCGTCTGGGTCTCTGTTGATGTTGACATTCTACAAAGACGGTGACAGAAATATCAAGTCCATCAGAATGCAAAAGCTCAGTGGCACTTACAACATAAATGGACATTGGAATCTATTAATTTGCATTAAGCACTTCAGTAATGCACAATAGAATCTCGTTCTGGTGGGAGCACTGGAATCTTTCTGCGTGGAGTTTGCATGTTCTCCCCGTACAGCGTGGGTTCTCTCCAGGTTCTCCGGCTTCTTCCCACACAGTCCAAAAACATGCTGAGGTTAATTGGTGATTTTAAAATGTCTGTAGGTGTGAATGTGAGTGTGCTTGGTTGTCTGTCTCTAAGTGTAGCCCTGCGATAGACTGGTGACCTGTCCAGGGTGTCCCCTGCCTTTGCCCTGAGTCAGCTGGGATAGACTCCAGCCCCCCCACGACCATAGTAAGGATTAGGCGGTGTATAGATAATGGATGGATGGATGGATGGATGGATGGATGGATGGATGGATGGACAACAGAATCTACTATTTGGCCCAAAATGACAGCCAACAGGCAGATGACACCTGTCAGAGTATAGGTTTCCAGTTTTGTTTCAAAACAATACATCCATCCATTATCTATAAACCGCTTAATCCATTATCTATACACTCAGCTGACTTAGGGCAAAGGCAGGGGACACCCTGGTCAGGTCGGCAGTCTATCACAGGGCTACACAAAGTGACAGACAATCAAGCATGCTTACATTCACATTTAGAATCAAATTAACCTCAGCATGCAAATTCCACACAGAAAGATCTCCGGCGTCCTAACCGGGACATGAACCAGGGATCTTCTAGTTGCGAGGTGATGGTGCTACGCACCAACCTACTGTGCAGCTTGCAAAACAAGACATGATAATTAATATTCCATGTTCTAGAGTAAGTGAAATCAGCTTTCTTATGCTTCTCAGTACCTTTACACATATTGTATTTATGTCTGCACCTGCCAGTATGCGATCACCATAAACAAAACCATAATGATAAAAACATCCAGTGTTAATTTTAAAAAGTTAGAGTGGAACTAAGTAACAGTACTCCTCAGCTTAGTCAAAATCAGCTAGACTTTTCTTTCAGGTTTCTGAAAACGTTTCACCTCTCATTCAAGAGGCTTCTTCAGTCTCTGAACCTAGGATTACCATGACCTGCATGACTGAGAATATACACAGATGCAGTGCTCCTTATTGTTTATGAATTCAGATATTTAACAGTAAGATGATTTTCTTGTCTGACATTTTATTAGGCGCAAATGTGGGCATTTTGACTTAAACTCATAGTTTTTATTTACCCTAAAATAAGAAAAAAAAGATCCTTTCAGCAGAGAGGATCATTCCTCACCACTACATATATTCATTTTATCAATACGTACACATTACAAACATTACTGCCTGACGTCAGACATAGTTAATGTACCACAGACTAATAGTTGGCAGAGCTAGGTGTCTATTATGACAAATGTGGAAACTTACCACTGGCCGCTCTCTGTGTGTGTTGACGGCTTCAATATTGAGGAAAAATGACTCAACTTTACACCCTACAGTTGAAGAGAAAGCCAGACAGTCAGAGGAAGCGTTGAAGAAACTGGATATGTCATACACTCAGCATTCACCACTTACCGTAGGCTATCGGTGTGAGTTTGAGCACCGTGTGAAGGGGACATCTTAAATACGGCAGCTCATCTTCAGACAGAGGAAAAATACAAACTGAAGAGCGCTTGTGGTATCAAAACGTCACATACTTGTGTAGGTTAAAACAACAGAGTCCACGCAAAAGTTGAGTTGTTTTTTTTTTTTATACCTGCAGGTTTGTCGAGGAAGTAGGCCAGCAGACAGCGCATCACAGCTTGGTGGCAGACAACCAGAACGTTTTCCTGCCTCTCCAGCTCCATGATGACCGGCTCAAGACGATGGACAAGGTCCTCATAGGACTGGACAAAAGACAAAATGCCTTAAAACTTCATCCATTTTTCAACCACATTTACTCATATCTTCTTACTGGAGATGCCACCCACCGATCCAAACTTAACTTTGTTCTGATTCTCCCATAATTAATATGTCTGGCAGGAAAAAACTGGACGGCGAAATGGATGGACTTTGGAAAATACAGTCTTTTGCTTTACTGAAAAGTTTACTGGATGATTATTTTCATATTTGTCTGTTAATTATGAACCTACAGCCAAAAGATGACAGGCTTGGCTTAGATTAAAAACTGGCACAGCAACACGATTTACCTTCCAGCTCCTCTAAATCTCATTAAATCAACACATTATATGTTGTTTCTGTGGAAGCACATTTAACACTTTATCTGAGAATTTCTTGTTTATGCTATCTTTTTAAATCCCTTTCTACCACATTTAAAAATAAACATATGTAGTTGTTGCTCTGCTACATTTATTAGACAGTTTTACTGAAGTTCATATTTTATTCATTAATTTATTATAATATTATATATAATATTATAATAAAAATTATAATCATTAATTTATATTTATTCATATCATTGAATTTCCCTTCTAGGATAAATAAAGTATTTTTCATTTCATTTGCCCATTCGAATTAGGTATATCAATTTAAAAAATGCTCCAATTTTACCAGATGTGGCATTATTGAATGCTTATTCAGTGCATCTAATAAATAAAATCCATAAATACAATATATATTACTGAATGATTGGTATGTTTACCTTTTGTACTTAAATTTTAAGCATGATTATTGTTAATACTTATGTACTTTTACTTAAGTTACATTTGAAAATGTGTATTTTGTTGACATTGTATTTTACACAAGCAAAGCATCAGAGTATCTGCTACACCGATGCTTGCTTTTCTGCTTAAAACAAAGTGTTATCAACACTGTGAACTTGCCAACTCAGAAATAGTCCTACATATTACAGCTCAAGAAACCACAGCTCGTTTATCTCTGGAATTTAGCCAGAGACAGGCCGGCTGTTTCTCTGTCTTAGCAGACAGGTAACTCAACTGTCTTCTGTAAACAGCTTTGCACTTTAAACACAGATATCAGAATGGCATCAATCTTATTAAAGCCTACAACAAATCAAACAGCAATTCTTCAATCTAAAAAATGCTCCAGTAAAGTTTCTCACTTGCCAAATGATCTGACCGTCTCTACTTGGCAGATTCTCAGTGTGAACAGTATGTGCCTACAACTCCTATGTATACTTTGCTGAATAAACAGACTATTAAAAAACAACAACAAAAAACATGACAAGACATTCACAGCAGCACTCACCTCACCCTTGGGGTAACGATAACGGTACTTGTCCTGATCTCTCAGTGCGAACTCTTCTGGGAAATTCTCCTGAATCTCTTCGTAAGTCAGCTCCTCACATACACCCTGAGTGGGAAAAGAAATGTAACAACAAAATAAACTGTAAAATCAATCTAACTACTCGCTAATCTGAGTATTGGCTGTATTGTAACTCTGGAATCAACAACATCTAAAGCATTGAATCACAAAAGCTCAACTGACCAAAAGATATCATCAGAAGGAATATGACAGTAATTGTTTGTTGAATTAACCACCAGTGAGGATGAAGAGGAGTAGGATCTGAGGGGAAGGTTTATGCTAGTGTGGCCACCATCTGATGATATCTGTTGGTGCCACTAGTGTTCTGTCACTACCCAGCTCCAACTACACTGAGCAGTAGAAGACAGTCCAAACTAGACATTAAGACCAACTGGGACATTGAAATAGCTTTTGAGAATCCATCCATCCATCCATCCATTATCTATACACCGCTTAATCCTCACTAGGGTCGCGAGGGGGCTGGAGTCCATCTCAGCCGACTCAGGACGAAGACAGGTCTTTCACAGGGCTACACTTAGAGACAGACAACCAAGCACATTTACATTCACACCTACGGACAATTTAGAATCACCAATTAACCTCAAGTTTTGGACTGTGGGAGAAATCTGGAAAACCCGGAGATAATCCACACTGCACGGGGAGAACACGCAAACTCCACGCAGAAAGATCCAGGACATCCTAACCAGGACGCAAACTGGGGATCTTCTAGCTGTGAGGCAATGGTCCTATCCACTGAGCCACCCTTTTTGAGAATCCCTTTTGCATATTGAATAAAATATAAATCCATTAATGAGTTATTACTTTTTTAATATTCCTAGAAGCTTCAGTGGAAATCGACTGGACGTCTCTTTACAGTTCTTGAAGGCGTTTCACCTCTCATCCAAGCATTAACTTTAGAAACTCACAGCATCTATCTCATTGAGAGCCTTCCACTGTTCGTACTGGACTCCCACAGCCTCTGCAGTCTGGATGGTCCTCTTCATGTGACTGGTCCACACTTTCAAGTCAGTGATTTTCTGACTTCTAATGAAGGCTGCCAAGGCATTTGCATACTGAGGAGAGAGGGGGTGAATGACTCAATTTTATTATCTTTCTTTGCTTCTAAAATGTAAGATGTTCAGAAAAGGAATGAACCAACTGAATGCTGAGTCTTTTTGGCTCAGTCTACTCACCTTTAGTCCTCTAGGGGACAAGCCTGAATCTCCACCAATGCGACCCAACAGGTTGAGCTCGCTCTCTCCGTGGCGGCTCAGGTAGATGGATCTCGGTGTGACGTGGATGTTCATGAGGTAGTAAACTATCCTGCTCTGAATGTGGTCCTGGACTCGGTTCACCAGGTACGTACTGCCCACGTCAAAGATCTTTATGTAGGAGAGTTTCCTGATCAAAGTCGTGGCAATGAATAAATCAATCTTTAAAAACAAAAAATGTTAAAAATGAAGATAAAATCTTTTTTTATTTTTTTTTTAATCTCTCCATTAATCAATGGTCGTACCTGTCTTTCTCATCATCTATAGGTATGTAGTTTGCCCTGTAACACTCGATGCGCTGGATGAAGTCTTCCATGGCTTCATCTATGTCACGGTCAACATAATCCGGACTCCCAAATTTTACTTGCTGGAATGAAAAAGTCAGATTTAGGATTTAACTGAGAACACTATACCCGAGTATCTGTAAATGTTTATGAACAAATTTAGTGAATGTGTTTCTCACCTTGATGTTCTCCGCAATGATTTCTGGGTTATCACAAATAGATTCTATAAAAAACACCTGCACATAAAAAATAATTTTAAAAAATCACTCAAAACTTTATTAAGTCAACAGTTTACTACAGTGAGGAGATGGTTATTTTAGGGGAGGGAGGGTCTCTGTCTAAAGGTAACTGAATATGGAGTCTGAAGTTTTGATGTCACAGAAGAAGATCAATATCACTTTTTGAACCACTGTTGGTACAAAATCGTACAAAAAAGTGACAGACATCCTCAACATGTGCCATGACACTGCAATCAGCAAGAAGGAAACCAAACTCAGGCTGATCGCTATAATTAACGGCTGACTCCACACTTAATGACAGTATACCACAAATGATTAAAGGACAAACATAAACTGACTAAAGCTGGAAAGTGTACAAGGTGTTGCCGGAACAGGGCTGACTGAAAACCCAAGAAGACTCTGCCCTTTCAACTGCGGTGTGTGAAGCATATAAATCAAGCCAGACACACTCCCGAACATCACAGGGCCTTAACTATATTTAATTATGTACTTATTTTCAGATGGAGAGCCAGAACACTAATCAGAAGGAGAAATCACAATGACTTGTGACAACAATGTAGTGACTTGGCTGTAATGATGATTTCTGAATGGGAGTGTATTGGAGCCAGAGCTCTTTGGAGCTGGCGCCTCGTGGTTGTAAGTGGTGCTGCACTTTAAGACCCTTCTGCAACAGCTTCACTCATGTTTTTCGTACAATCCATGATCATAACTGCGAGGTTTGTGAGTCACCAGCAGAGATCCCAGAATGGTATTTCAGAACAAAATAGTCCCAACATATATCTGCACTTAACACCTCAACTTTTTAAAAAACTTTTTTACTTTAAAAAAAAAAAATGGATTTAACAAATGAAATATGACATATATAGTGAGGTTTGAGACTGTTGGTGGGCAGATTTTGTCTCCAGTTGTCCAGTTGTTAAGCGAAGCTAACTGGCTGTTCATAGTAGTTTAAAGCAGGGATTGGCAGTATTTTTGGGCATCACTGGACAAAAGTTCCATATTAACTTTTCAAAGTCTTGTAAATGAAGTGGTCTGAGATGAAATCAGACTTCTGCACCTTCTCTTATCAGAATTGAATTCTACTTTTTCAAAGATATATCATAACACACAACACATACATTGAGATTCAAGCGGTGGTTCCCAGCCTTTTTTGATTGTAACTGTATAGTCTTTACAGCCCCTTTCAGAGAAGCACTCATTTTCAATAATGTTAACTTTAACATTTAGCGTATAAATGTTAAAGTGGTATCAATCTTCTCATCTAACTCTTGATAAAAGACAAAAAAATGTCATTTCTATAACTATTCCTTTACATGGAAAAAGTGTTGCTTGCCTTGTAGCCCTTCTCCTTTGCAAAACTGATGATGACTGCCCTCCTCTCCTTTGTGGTGTTGGTAGCATCAAATACCTGAATGAGAAAGACAGAGGTTAACACATCCCTATAGTGTTTGGAAATAAAGTACATTCACGCTAATCTAAATGATCAACAGTGAAACATGATGCCATCCTACATTGCCCATTTTAATACAATGTGGATGTCTAAATCATGTTTTTCATTTCGAAAGTCACATTTGTTTATCTATTCAATTTTACCTAGAAAAAAAAAAGACAATAGTTCCATAACAAAGCAGTTCAGAATGTTCTGTCTCGCTTGCCTATTATCTTTTCTGGCAAAAATAGAAATGACTTTAAAAAATGAATAATTTGCATGTTTTATTGTGATTGAAGGGACAGTTTCAGTTGTCCTCTTACTCACGGCTACTTGTCCCTGTTCCTTTGTGAAGTAAGCACTGACGTCTTTGAGTGCGGCTGCTGCACAGGCCCTGAGGGAGAAGTTACACTCATGAAGGAACAAAACCTGAAGAATATCAGGGGAGGACGAGTGTGGTGTGATAGTGACAGTGTAAGATGACTCTCACCCTTGAGTGATTTACGAGAACATCTGTGTCGTACTTACTTGCGGATCCTCATGGCCTCCTCATTATCAGGTTTAAAGAACTCAAAGTTCTTATAGATCTTGACAGCCTCCCTGCGATACTGTCCCACGTTAAACACTAGTTAAATAGGAAAACAGATCTTTGGGGCAAGAAGAGCTCAAAGAATGCATTATGAACTGTTCGCAGTTACCAATGAAATACTCAGGTCTTTGTCTCATGCATTTATGTGATGAAGATTTACTTTGGAAACTGACTTTTTGTCGGAACCCCGATCCAGTTCAGGTAGCGAGTTAGCTTCTTGGAGATGTATGTCTTCCCCCTGGCAGGCAATCCCACCATCACAATCAGTGTCGGAGAGTTACAGAACTGAGGCACTGAGGCTGAGAGGAAAACAAACACACAATAACACAAAGTAATCCTCAATGAATTCTGCTCAGGTTGCCTCTGTATGAAGCAGATATAGACTTATGGACACAGCTTTCAATGCCAAAATCTCACTTTTGGAGACATTGCTGAGCAGAGGACAGTTTTTCAAGAAAAAGCAATGTGTTTTCATGTAACTGTCAAGCAAATTTAAAGTGACATTTGAAAATGCTGCAACAAAAAAAAGAAGAAGCTTATTTCGATTAACCGCTTTGGAACATGTCAGCTTTGCTGTGCAGTGTTGTCAGAAGGTGGCACTACAGTAGGCTACATGGCTATAATAAGTGTAGAAGAAGCTGGAAACCAAACCAGTTGTTTGCCAACCACTAAAAAAATTCTTCAAGAAGAAATGAATGAAATTCCATCTATGACAAAAAAATTAGGAGAAGTCAGACTTACAGCTCTATACGCATCTTGCATCCTAAAATGTATGTCTCAGATTATATGAATGAATTGTTTAGGTCGATATTACGTGAATTCTCTACAAGGTTTTAATTCACTAAATTGTATACAATTACAATTACAAATACAATTTATTAGCTCTCAGCAGTATTCAAATCATATGAAATAATTATTTACTCGTGAGTATATTTCATGTGGATGACTGAGTGATACGTTAAAAAGGATTCACATGAATTTTCTAGTAACAGCCATTTATTTTTCTCCTTTTTTGTTTAGTTAATTATGTGTTCTCCGCTCAAGATAAATGGATGTACTGCTACAAGAAACAATACATATCTTCTTTTTTCATTATTTCATCAGTTGATGTCAAGGTGCAATTGAGATTATGTTCAGTTTGATCTATTTTGTGTTTTATTGTTTGTTTATAAGTCACACTGATAGACAATGTGTGAATTTATGAGTAGAAAAAAATGTGTTCACTAAATTAAAGATTTTTTCTTTGTCCCCCTTTCTTTCTCCTACATACAGTAATAATAATAATAACAAATCTGAATCACCATCTTACTTGTCTATTCTGTTCTTGTTTTAGCTCACTTTGTCTAGTTTTGTTTTAAATAATGAGTCGTATATTTTATTACTTTTCTACTGGGCACTGCATTTACTCAACCAATCCGAATCAATCTCCTGATATGTTTACACTTAAAAACTGTGTGATAGTATTCTGGAAGTTGTCATACCAACAAAGTTACTTTATTTTCACTAGTCTAGGTAAAGAAAGTAAAAGTGAGTTTTATTCTGGCGCCATGTTTCACATCTGCCTACTGTCAGAGAGAACACCTAGAAAAAGCCTTTCTGAGACAGAAGTTCAGATGGCGCCTCAAGGAGGTTAATTAATTAAGGCTGATTAATAATTAATATGCTGGGAGGGTGCCCTAAAAACTCCAAAATGGGTGCAAAGTCAAGTTAGCAGCAACATTTTGCTGTAAACGTTTACTGCATGTGTGATGCATTATTCAGTGGTAGAGCATCTGTCTCATGTTCAAATGGTCAAATACAATCCAGTCACCAATCCAGTGTTGTTGTACATGTGTTGTGTGTCACTGCAAAAGCAATCTTCATTAACAGAGGGAATAAGAGCTCCACAGCTCAGATGTCTGCAAAGTAGTGCAGTGAGTCATTTCTGGCAGCAAACTGGGGGGTGTGTGCCTGGAGCCTAACCTTTGGGTTAAGGCAGGGGACACCCTGGATAGGTTGCCAGTCTATCGCAGGGCGAGACTTATAGACCGACAGCAGAGCTCACATTCACACCTACGGACAATTTAGAATCACCAATTAACCTCAACATGTTTTTGGACCTTGTGGGAGGAAGCCAGAGAACCAGGAGAGAAAACCACAATGTACAGGGAGAACATGCAAACTCCACGCAGAAAGATCCCGGGCGACCTTCTTGCTGCGAGGCAACAATGCTAACCACAGATCCACCTTGCAGCCCCCAATCAACCTGGAAACAACAAATACAACCTTGGAGAAGTGAGGAACAACATTTACAAACAAAAGCCTCTCCTCTGCATTTAGTCACATCTTAGAAACAACCAGAGCTACACCATATGGCCCACAATCACAAGGACAAAACACTCCAAATCTCCATGTAAAAATAAATAAGCTCAGCTGCGCAGAGCATCCTAATCTAACACTATGATTCCAAGTAGAGAAATCTGAGGCCTTCGTTCAGACTGTCAATGCTCAGTTATTTAAACTACAATGAAGAAAAGAAAACTTACTGAGGTGCCACTGTATAATTAAAAGTCCCTTGTTAGGATCACTTCTGAAGTAAATCAGTATGCACTCCTAGACAAAGCTGACATTATTTTTGTGTTTCTCACCCAGTCACGACCCAGCATGCTTGTCTGTCTGGGCTTAAAAAATGCCAGTAATTTATAAGGCAGACAGCAGGGTTGCTTGCCAGTCAGCTGAGCCCCCCAGAAGTACCCGGATGAGGGTATGTGTGTCCATACAGGGACAGACAGGGTGTCAGCCTCCAGGCTGTTCGATTATGAATGGAGTATGCTGCTTCAGCAAAATGCTCAAAGGGCCCGTCAGACACTGAACAGAGAGCCAACTCTGACCTGCTTTGGTACAGCCTGGCTGCCTCTCCCAGAGTACTGCCTTCCTACCGGCATCCCCTGACAGCTCAGTCCAGAAGCAACAGGGGGAAAGATTCATTACAGGCAGCAGAAAACAAAGCAATAACTGCAGGAACTGTTAATGCAGACTTCATCTGCTGAAACAAGAACTGAGTTAAAGTGGAGGCAGAACAAACAGTAGGACAGTGACTTCTATTGTAAGGCTAAACTTGAGCTGAGACAGGTTTTTACTGCACTTACATCCCCTCCTGCGGTTCACGTTGCATCCCATCCACGGCACCCAGATCTTGAGCAGAGGAGTCTGTGTAAGATTCTCCTGCACTGTGGACATGTTAATTGTCATGAGGCCATGAAGTTTGTGTAGAGGAAAGAACGACTGAGGTGCACAGCCCTGTGATCTGTGTGCATGTGTGTGCTTCATTGAACACCTACTGCATGTCAGCTGACTGTTGCTAAGGAGAAGTACTTGGGAGGCAGGAGGGGGAGGACCTGAGGCCATGCAGCTTGTCTGCCTCGCCGTCTGTTTCAGGATTTAAAAGGCTTGGTCAGAGCTGCCAAACTCTCTGCAGTGTAATCAGACAATAGGGAAGCATTCAGTTCCATTGTGTTTTACATCTGTTGTGGATATACAGCTGGTTTCTCAGTCAGTCAGAGCAACAGAGTCACGTAAGACACGTGTACCAGAAGAGAGAAGCTCTCATGAATGCAAATGAGCACAGTTGGTGCTGGGTTTGTTTAGCAGATTGAGAAGCGCAGAGTGGGGCTTCTCCTTTCTCACCACTAGAGGGTACTTTAACCTTTACCTTAAATCTGGTAAACCCCAGGAAGTTACTCTCACCCTGCACTAGCAAAAACAAGAAGTTGGTCAAACCATGTTTGCAGATTGTAAGAACGCTATCAATGTGTGCATGTAAAAACTCCCCGAAATGCACAGGAAAATCTCTCTCTTTGTTTTGTTTTTTTTCATACACACCTGCATTCAGACTGTGAACATTTCAGCTGTGTATTCACAGAACCGGGTCAATCAGCTGAACTACAAGCTGTCATCTGTCATCAAGAAACAGAGCAGGAGCACATTTCAAGTGCTTTTGCGCTTTAGACGTTGGTGATGTTTCTGACAAAGACTGAAGTGACAGTGGAAACATGTCAAAGTAAAAACAGCTCCTATCTAAAAAAATACTCATTGTCTGACAAAGAAAGAAATGAGCCTAATCATGCTACATTTTAAGTGCTGTTAATGTGTTTTTTTTTTTTTTACCTGTTTGTGAACAGGATTATATGAAAACCACCATGCTGAAAGGTGTCAATCTTGATTGATGAGTGTAGTTATGTGACTTGGTAATCTGTCAGCAGACAGCAAAAACACGCTGTATCAGTCAGAGATCATCAGCCAGAGTCATTTTGCAGTTTCCTCTTCATCATGTGTGGGTTTGAGCTTCTTCCTCTGGAAGGATGATATGTTTCTATTACAGGCCAAAAAAGTGATCACGAGTCTGCAAGCAGTACGAAAGGTTTCATACTGAATCTGTAAACTGCTCACATTACCAAATAATTTGGACCGAATATGGGTTCAGAACAGACCAAGGAAAGGGGTGAATCAGGGGCAGATGAGCCTGAAACTCCTCCAGTGAGCCCAACGTGGTGTTGCAGGTCACTCTGTATCAAATGATCAAGTCCCAGTATTCAAGCCTCGATGTCACTCATTCTGAGAACTTCTAACAGAGAACATCTTGAACCCAGTTTTGGCTGATGTTCAAGGCCTAACCGGCAGTTACTTTATAGCAGAGATAGCCACAGATGGTTCTGGGATAAGCTCAGCCATTAAGAGAAAGTACACACTATTCTACTGGGAGTTTGTCCCCTTAGCAGAAGATGGCACGTCCTCAAATATAACAACAATCATCGCAGTTCTGGTCCCTGTGTTTCTCCTCATGCACACTGACATGCAACATAACAGCATGTCAATGTGCATGAGGAGCATGAGAGGAATTTCTCAAGAGTTTAGCAAATTGCACCAACTATTACAGAGTACCTCGCTGCTGTTTCCCTGGTAATGCAGACTGGTCAAATATTTGTGCACATTTTTCCCTTTAAGGTAAGTTGCAGGACTTGTCACTCTCCATTTTTATCACTCATTCATGAAAGTGTCTGTCAAAGCTTATATTACCTCTAAAAGAAGGAACACACACAAAAAGTCCAACAACTGCCTTAACTTTCTGTTACTTATTATGAATGTTACCAGCTAACTGTGCAGTTTTTCTTCCATTTAAAAAGAGATTTGTTTCTTTGCTGCATAAAGCACAACATCTGTATGTATCACATGTTAATGGAAACATTGCTGTAAGGTCCCTCTGTGTATCGCTATGGTGTTCTCTCTGCAGAGGGAGTTTGTCAAGATCTCACCTGCACTGTCACACCTGCGAAGCCTCATACGTTCTGGATGAGGAAACTCCATTCCGTATAAAAGCCCAACGAAGCAACCAGCAGACCATCGACACAATCAGCACACAGAGCTACGGGGCCAGTGGCAAGAGAACTAAGGACCTTTTTAAAGAAGCTAAGCCCCTGTGCCAAAGTATTCTCAAGTCACCCCCACCCATCGCTTTTCATGACACATGGACATATGATAGCAGCACACTGGGCTTGTCCTTTAATGTTTGCCAGGGCCAGAGTTCACAACATACACACGAGACGAGGAAGGCGCAGCACTCGGAGTGTACATCACAACAAGTGCAAAGGTCACTGAGACAATGATTGTCACTGCACATGGAGACATGACAACATTAAAGCTTGCAGAGTGCAGTCACTCAATTGCGTACGTCAGCAGCAAGGGCCCTGTGGTCAGCTGTGTGGTGTATGTTTAGTCACACTGGTCATACACTCTTGAACCGATGTGGAGGGGGTGATATTTGAGATCAAAACCCAAAGTACATGCATGACTGTGACATGATGCCCTATTGTATGCATTGTCTTTAGTAAAGCACAAACCACTCATGATGGCTTACATACAGTATGTCCTCATATACAGATGGTTGAAGGCATTCATACTACAGATATGCACACTGCATCCATACAGTAAGCATATCCATCAGTTAGGATGTAGTTTTCAGATCACCTGGCCTGTATGTTTGCACTGGACGACCTAAAGAACACCTTCATGGACTGTGTTTACATGAACTTGTATATGACTGTGTTTTTTAACTATCCTGACAAATATTTCCATCATCATTTGTGTTTGTATCTTAGCCTCTGGATGATCTGTTATGACTGCTACTTATGACTTGAGTTTATGTTTTGCTGAGAAATTTACAGTATTTATTAATTGTAAACTTCTTCAGTAAATATATACAAATTACAATTGGGCCAAATTTACTTCTCCAGTATGTTACATTATTGTTACATACTAATATCATATTTATTTTTGTGTTTCCGCAGCGAGATTGCCTTTTGTTACTGTAGGTTAACATTAGCTGTCCCAACCATTATTATTTCATATTAGTACACACATCAACAAGTGCTAAATGATATCAAGATGAGACAGCTATACAACAAATAGCCTCCCTAAAACAAGACTACAGTGTGACACAGCTGCACTTTGTAAAAATGTCGTTTTCGGGATGTGAGTATGTGTAGGCGGTAAGGTGGGTGGGTGTGTGAATGCACAAGGTTGGTGTCTTAACTGCTTTAAGTTATTGGATCCTGGAGAAATGCTCTCTCATCTTGCCTGCATTACTGTTGTATATACAGCAAAAATGACAATAAAACTTGATTTGATTTGATTTATGAAACCTAGTTCTGTAATTATTGTCTAATGACCATAAGTCAGGTATTGGATATGACTATTGTACGATATAGTGGGCTTTGTTTTGCTTATTTGCATGAGGACTTTTGTATTTTCTTCAAATCTTTGATGATGTCAGCAACATTGGCACCTCTCAGCTACTCCAATGACTATTAAAAGCAAAAATAATAATTAGGGATTGGAAATCTGAGGTCCTTTGAAATTCTCCTTTATGCACCAGCAGCCAACTCAGCATTGATCGAGATCATGTGAAGTTGTTCACAAAGAAGTAAAAAAGGATGAACCAAATAAATAACAAATAAAGATGCACTGGTGCTTAAAAGTGCAGTGTACCAAGGACAACATTGCTGGGGGGAAAGTACGTGAGCTGGCACTAAACATGCTATTTCCTGCAGACTGAGGTTAGACACACTTGAGAAGATTGTGGTCAACCATTTCAGTCTATTGTTGAACTCTCAAGTTGCGGCTGCGTGAAACACTATTAAGGGGTAATGCAAATGCAAAAAATAGTCCCCCCTAAAGTGTGTCCCCAGCATGTGGGAGTAAAAGATAACACCTCAGACTATTCAGTGTAGAATATTTATGAGGTAATTTTTTTCTTTTAAAGACACCATATGAATGCCTTTTGACTCTCTGCAATCACTGTATTACCAGTGTTAACTAAAAAAAGGACGAAGCTTTTAAAACTCTACACAACATGTGTGCAATCGACATGGTATTCTGAGATTTAGCCTAGATTCTCAAGTATTGTGATTTCTTTCTCTTTTCATTCACCATTAACTGAACAGTTTATGATGTATTTGGTATGACTGTAATCCTTGGCCATCAAAACGTATGGGAGGACACAAGAAGTCACATCTCCTCAACAAAAAATGATCTGAATATGCCCAACATCACGTCAGTTAAACCGTTTTTTGATTACAGTAAAAAAATAAAAAAAAAAGAAGACATAAACAAGAAAGTATGCAAACTAAAGCAGTCTGTTTTTTAAGCAGAACGTAGTGTTTGACATAATTATTAATCATAAAATAGAAGACTTTTACTACTGCTGCCAATACAAATTACACTCATGCAGAGAGATGATTTTAAACCACTAATACAAATTTACTCTAAACACACTCTAAACTCTTACACAACAACTCAGTCAACCACATACAGGTTACAGTTTATATCCTCTGTACAGAAGCGTGTGTGTGGTTGTGCCTTAAATAACAGCTTAAGATGGAGTGATAATTTTTTATGCAGACACAGCCTTTAGACCAGAGAAGTCATATGTTTAATTCGGAGCAGAATCTGTGCAGACACAAGGAGTTAGTTGAAAAACTAGAAAGTCAGCTTTACTTTGGAAAGCTGGTAGTGACTCAAAACAAAACCAGTCAGGCAAAACACAGGAACAGGCTGAAGCAGAGTGCAAGGTCCAGACAAACATGTATAAAACACAGGAAGGCAAAGAAACAGACTGCTGCGAAAGCAATAGCATGAAGGAACATTAAAAAGGTAATTTCCTTTTAATTCATGCAAGTGGCATGGCCTTTTTCATCTGACTGCATAGACTCATCAGCATTCTGAATGCAAACAGATAAACTTTGCACAAGACACCATTTTTGTGACTTGGAAAAAAAGGAAATAAACTAAAAGATGAGACTATGTGACAGGTCAAGAATTATGAGGGACCGTATAGGCCATAATTCATTCTCACACTCACACATGCACACATTTTAACTCTTGCTTACATATATTCACCTCTCACACACATACATTCTCCTCACACCATAATATGAGGGGCCGTATAGGACAAAATGCATTTTCACCTCTTACATACTTTTCTGAAATCTATAATCACCTGCACATACACATAAAATCAACTCTCACATAAACACACAAGCAACATCTTGCATACAAACTAGTGAAAAAGGCACATACATACTACTAAAAGCCCACACATACATACAAGTCAACCTATGTGTACTTAAATTAGATCTGAGATCTTCCTAGCTGAATCACTGGGATCAGCTATCACTGACACTGCATGCACACGTACCATTTGTGGGGAGAAGTGGCTGGATAGTTACATTATGGACCTGAGCCAAAGCCAAATCAACAAATTGCTACAGACAGAATCTCCAAGCTGCAGACTTTTCAGATTTGGAGATGGTCAAGTGGTACACTCCAACAGAAGAGTAAAGCTTCCTGCCAAGATCGATCAAACAAAATGCCACATTGTAACTGAAGTTGTTCCTGCTAATATTCCCTTATTGCTGAGCAAAATGTCTCTAAAGGGAGCAGGAACTGTTTTAGACATGGAGAATGACAGAGTTGTCATGGTCAAGCAACCAGTGCCTCTTGAGCTCACAAGTTCGGGACACTATTGTGTGGACATTAGAGATACAAATGCAGAAGTGAGTTGTAATGAAAGTGAAATCTCATTGTCACAGCAGAGATGTCTACAAAAGAGAAGCGTAAAGTTCTTTTAAAGCTTCACAAGCAGTTTGGCCACACCTCCGCAGACCGGCTGCAGGGGCTCGTCCAAAGCTCTGGAAATACTGACAAAGATTGTTCAGTCATTCTACAGGAGATCATTCGTGACTGTGAGATATGTCAGGGATACAGCAGGACCAAGCCCAAACCTGCAGTTGGTTTTCCTTAGCCTCAGAATACAACAAAACTGTGGCAATGGATCTACATGAGCTGGAACCCGGTGTATGGTACCTGCACATCATCGACCACTTCACATGCTTCAGCGCTGGCAATATTGTCAGGACCAAGAAGCCCTCGGAGATCACTCCTTCATGCACTTGTGGATAAGTGTCCACGGTGCCCCCAAACGGATCTACACAGACAACAGTGGGGAGTTCAACAATGAGGAGATTAGAGACATGGCAGAGAAATTAAACTTTGAGACGAAGACTACAGCGGGATACAGTCCATGGAGCAACGGGCTGCTGGAGAGACACAACATGACACTGAGTGAGATTCTCCTGAAGGTGAAAAGAGACAATGGGTGTGGTTGGCAAACTGCTCTAGACTGGGCTCTTATGGCTAAGAACATTATGATTAATGTACATGGTTATAGTCCACAGCAGTTTGTGTTTGGTCAAAGTCCTAATCTCCCTTCTGTTTTGGTTGATAGACCATCTGCTCGAGAGGGTACTACTAAGAGTACTAGAGTAGGGCATCACTTAGCAGCATTACATGCTTCTCGGAGAGCTTTCACAGAGATAGAATGCTCAGAAAGAATAAGAAGGGCACTACGCAAGCAGCTCAGATGAAAAGTATGAGACAGGAGACAGAGTGTACTACAAGTGAGCAGACAGTACAGAGTGGAAGGGTCCTGGTGTAGTTATTGGTCAGGATGGAGCTGTAGTGTTCATAAGACATGGTGGGATTCTTGTCAGAGTACACCAGTCCAGGCTGAGTAAAGTGAATGCACAAGATGAGGATAAACCGGTGCTGCCCAGAGTTTCTGAAAATGGTAAAGCCAATGAAAACATTGTACACACTGATGTGTCAGAGAGTTCAAATGATGAAATGAGTGTTAATGGAGAAGAGCAAATCCCTGAAAACACAGAAACAGATGAGAGAGAAAACATGAGACATACAAATGAGATGTATACTGAAACAGAGTGTGATACAACTAATACAGTGGATTCCACTGATATCAAACTGAAAACAGGTCAGACAGTCACATTTACAAACAGAGATGATGGTGTTCAGCACACTGCCAGAGTTTCAGGCAGAG